CGTTTGATCACATGGGCCTGCTTGAGTATTGATGCTGTAATTAGTGTGCTACAATAAAACTGTGATGTACTGTCGTATGCTATTGGCTTTCTCTCAGCCCAGGCTTCCGTGAAGCTGCAACCGCGATCCGCTTCCACTCCCGCCTATCTACCATCCGCAACTGAACTCCCGCTGAGCGCATGGTCACGAGAAACCATTAGAAAGGTTGAATCGTCACTCCCATGTCATCACACTTCCTGATAAGCCGAAAACTTTTAATTCAACTATGCCAAACTACCCTATATATACTACCTGAAGCCTGAAATCTCAAAACCTCAGCCTTTTTTTCACAAGGGACTCGACTGCTGCCCTTAACCCACTAAGGAACCCTCAATCCCAAAGCGCATGGCCTGAAGCACCCCTTGAAAGTCTCGACGTCCTTGGCGCCGGCGGCTTAGCCGACCGTGCCTCGAAGCCTTCGGACGGCCGAGGCTCAGTCTCCGGAGCTTTCGAACCTCTATAAGATACGATAACATACTGTAATATCCTATATTATACTATGTTATGCCATAATACTAGAAGAATATACAGAAATATGCTATCTTATACTATAGAATGCCATGATATTCCACACTTTGCCATATTCTGGAGATATTCGCGGGGCTGTATAGGGTTTATAGAGGTTCGAGATTTAGGATTTTGAAGTTTGTGGTTTTGGGGCTTGGCACGGCCCAGAAGAAAGCTTGAAGCTAATCGGACAACAGGCTACTTAGGGTTGTTCGTAGGTTTTCACAGACCCAGGATACTTTCTTCAACCACGAATATAGGGGGCTTAATAATTAGAATAGGGTTTTGGGGCCCGTCATGCTATAGTTATAGTAAGGAACCTCCAAAATAGTTGTGGTAATTATTTAAGCCCCTATATTAGGCATCGTGCGCTGATTCCAGAAACTTGCGGCCGTATCGGCAGACACAGGTCTGAACTCCAGAAGCCCTAGTACCAGTACAAGTGCTGCTATCGCATCATTCTCGTAGGTTTTGTGGTGGATGCTGTGTGGTTGCGCGTTCTTATGCCCGAAAAAGTCTCCAAGGTTTCGATGCTTCTGCCTTCGAAAATTCTACGCAACCGTAACACAGCCGGGCTGCCACGGCTTCTAACAAAGGCTTCTCAGCTCCCGGCAGCTCCGAAGGCAGCCCGGCTAACTACCAGGCTGCATTGGAGTCTTCATAGGGCTTGGTCTTGCAAGATTTGTGAGAAAACGGCTCAAGCCTCTGGTGTTACAAGGTTTCTTCGGATCCTTCCTGGCATGCAGCTGAAATTTAGGCTTGGACGCACAGACTGCCGGCTCCAGTTGCTGCAGAAGCTTGGGCATAGACTTCGAACAGGTTCGATTTAGGTACAGAGCTCTTCGAAGCGCTGTCATCGAATATGCATTTTGCAGCTTCAACCCCTGTGCTTTGGGACGTGGCCAGCCCTGCAGAGGACGGAGCCAAAAGAGCGGCCGGACGTTCAACGCGCACGGACAAAGCCCCACAAGGTTCGTAGCTGTGTGGCGCAAGGGCGGATGGCAGTTTTGGCTTCTGGGGGTTTGCAGGTCAGACTGTTTCTTGCTACAGAAAGTCGCAGGGGCTTGGGGTGTAGGGCTTCTGTTGTGCAGGTTCATGGGTCGTATAGGGTGTATCGGGCCAGATATCGACTCTAAGCCGATGGTTTCCGAGAGATAGACTCAAGGTACAGGATCCCAGGCTGAATGTACACTCAGGACCTAGGAAATGCTATGTAGCTTCTTTCGGAGCTCGTCAAGAGAAACTAGCTCATCATCTCCGAACTACACACTTCCTGCACATTAAGTTTTGCATCCGCCCCGCATAACTTGCTAGTCATTGCCAAGATGACAATCACATGACAAGTCGTCATAAGAAACGGCAGTGTGATCAATCAGAGGTCCTACATCGGGAAGTTGCTTCCCACAGTTCGGCCGGAGACAGCAGAACTCAGCCAGTTGCGACTCGCAGCAATCCATATGGGATCAGCTTGCCTAACGCAGAGGCCGGTTAGGGTTCTCGTGGGTGTTACTGAGTCAGTCGGCTCCAACTGGCTTTCGAGTGTGGCAGATGATGTAACCTCGGAGGCTCGTTGAACTTTTGGCTGACACAACACTTTCACAGATTCGTCAGCCAAGCCTTTGTCTGTAGCGAGTGGCACGTCCATCAAAACGGCTGAAGATTTTTCTCAGACTAGACTGAGAAGAAGCAACAGCCACCTCGTCAACTTGAAAAGCAACGCTTCACCCTAAACCAAAGTCTCCAAGTCCCCAAACCCTATAAATCATCTCAGCCATGCAATAACCAAGTACTTTCGGCGAAAACCAAAACCCTACAACCCGAAAAGGGAGCCTGGGATCAGCACCAGGGCAGCGATGAAGAGGGCCAGTACCGCGAGTGCCGCTAGCTGCGGCGAAGCTGCGGGCTCATCATCCTCGGCTTCCCACGTGGTTTCGACTCAACACTCTGTAGTAGCTTATCTCTATGTAATACTATGATAATCTATAGTGGTTTATGTAATACTATGATAATCTATAGTGGTTTATGTAATACTATGATAATCTATAGTGGTTTATGGAATGTAATACTATGTACGGTATTTTAAACTATCGATCTACCTCTCTGTCTCTATCCGCCTATCTGTCTAGCTGGCTACTTGCATGGAGCCCCTGAAGTCTGAAACTTTGACGACCTCTCACCAAGTTGTCTTTGGGTCGAGATCTTATCCTTTAGCTTCACCATTGGGCAAAGGCCGGGGTGCTGTGCGAAGCGCCAACCGCAGATGGACGTTTACAACACTTTAAAATTAATAAAACCTTGAGGATTTGTAAAAGTAGCATTGCACGCAACTGCGTGAACGAATGCATCTCCGAGCGGCAAAGTCTTCGCGCGGCGGCAGCGGTGCTTCCCTGCCGTGTGTGCTCGAGGGAGAAGGGTGGGTGATCGAGGGAGAAGGAGTAAAAGGTTTCCGGAGTCGACCCACAAAAACACGATAAACTCCGTGAGGCTTTGGACGATACAGAAGGAGATTCCATCTTGAAGGCTCCACCTTCAAAAGGGGCCCTTAAGCCCCTGCCTCGTCGCCGCCAAGAAGGAGACGCCCCAGGCAAACAGCGCCGAGCTGCAAACGGCCGCGTTGGCGTTGGGACCCAAGCGCCCGACTGCGCCGAGCAGAAGCACCACCCCAGTGCCTAGCCTCGGTTACGCTTTTGGGCTATTTTAGATGTTTGACACCTTGTCGCGTCTGCGGAATGGGGGTCCCCAGCTACACACATAGAGCCTACTAGTGCAAGCAGCGTTAAGACCTTGGAAACGAGGTTTCCTCAGTGCTAAAGATCCTCCAAAGGAAGGCTTTCGGCTTTAGGTTGTGGGGTGTCCCCATGCGGTGCCCAATTTGTTGCCGGATTCCACTGTGGTCTCCTCGAAGGATGTTTTTTTGCAGAAGCCAACGCTAATCTTGCCAAGCTGCTTCGGGCTATTTACGCTCATGAAATGGGCATCCTGCAGCAGCATCTGAGGCACGGGCTCAAGCAGCTGGATCGGCCGCGGCCCAAACAAGAACCTGGTGATCACGGCAGGTGGCTTCCGATGCCCCCAAGGCCAACCTCCAAAATTGCATCCGCTACAAAACAGCGGTTTGTCCTCTCACCCTCTCACCTCTGTGCTGGTGAAGAGAATACTCACCTGGTTGCTTGGAGGTGCGTGGCCGAAGGCATGCGGTGTGCCGGTGCCGGCCTTGCTAGCAAGTGCCCATCGAGGCCCCGAAGAGGGAGGAGTCGAACCGCCTCTGGGAAAGCTTCTGTTTTCGCAACTTGCGTTTCGCGGCTTGGGCTTCGCTTCGTTTCAGCTTACAGAGTGCGTGCGCGTGGTCGCGGCAGAAACGTTGGACACTACTATGCTACTGCGTACCTGGCTCTCAGTGTGTATAGCATGGCAGCGCACATCTTCAGGGACGCCAAAGATCAGCTTGTATCCTCCGGTTGTTTCAGGTCGACGCGTGTTCAGCTTTGCACCGCCCGACCCCCAAGTCTGTAACCCAAAATCCATACAACTTTGAAGCACTTTCGTCAAACTTCCATATCCGCTAGCTCGAAACCCTTCAGCTTCATCATAATCATATAGTGGGTGTAAGAGCTTTCGGGTATAGCAACCCTTCATCATCCCGATTACTGGGCATATGTAAGCTTCTAAATCTTCTAACATGCAAGGATCGTTATAAACTCCTCGGAATCCCAAAAGCATGCCAACGTCTTACCTGGGTCGTGAGAGCCAGACAGCCGCTGAAGAGAAGCGGATCGAGCCTTCAGCACAAAGGATCCGAGCCAGAAGTCTCCGACACCAACCATTACCGTAGGGTTTAGGGTTTAGGGTTTAGGCAGAATTCTGAGTACCATAAGACTCTTACCCCTGAAGCGGATTTCGATAGAGATCCTAAATGCTAAGGCGCGCAAAGGACAAGGGGCGGTTTGTTGATCCGGGGTCTGGGTTATGAAAGCCCAAGCATCCTACCAGGCCCAGCAGCATGAACTCTAGCCCGTACTACAGGGCCCGTGAAGGGGTGCCTAAAGCTACGACGTTCGATCAGGAAGGGTGAGGTTTCAGGGCATCAGAAGCAAGGTCTGATTCCACGCCGTTTTCTCGTAGGTATGCCAAGAAGCAGCATCCAAGACACTTGAAACGCAAAGGTCTGATTCCCCGAACCCTGAACCCTAAACCATCATCTGAACCGTCGCTGGGGCACGGTACCCTGGCTGGGACGCTGGGTGCAGCCTCACCACTGCCGAGACCCAGCACTGTCTGCGCTGCATCTGCCAAGGCTGTGCCAAGAATTTGTGCTCGAATGTCCCAGAAAAAATGGGGACGAGTTTACTGTTCTATCGGGATCGCGGTAGAGATTCGTGGCGAGGGTTCCTGTGTTGAAGCCACGACTTGACTTCAAGCACAAGTCTTTCCTTAAGAACCCAAAACCCACTTTTTTGTAGGTTCTTATTATAAACCCGAATATGGGATTTATAGGGACCCTACAAAAAAGTAGGTTTGGGGTTCTTAAGGTCCGGATTCTTCTGAGCTCCTGACAACCTCACCGCAGCCCTGAATCTGAAGCCTGAGTTAGCATTCTGCAGCCTTACGTCCTCGGCCTAAACCCTAAACCCTAAACCCTAAACCCTAAACCCTAAACCCTTACGGTAAGGGCCTTACGTCCTCGGCCACGACACCATGTTGCTTTTGGTCTGTAGCTGGAAAAAAGTCGGCAGCAACATTTTTGAATTGAGGCGGCCCTTGCAATTCGGACTCGTGGTTTATAGGGTTTACAAGGTCATCTTGAGGGTCATGGCGAACCACAAAGCTGCCGATGTTACTGCGCAACTGAGTAGGACGAGAACTCTCTCCCTGAAGCTCAGAAAGAACCGTCGAAGCCTCAAAACTGAAGCACGAGCCTGCTGGGAAAGAATCGCCCAATAACTGTGCCAGCAGCAACGGCAGGCGGGTCACCTTACATGTTTGACTCGCTCTGCGGCCCATCTTAACACTGACTCCGCTCGGGCGATTGAGGCACTAGGAATTTAGAACCAGCGGGAACTCATCAGTCATAGTAACTACAGACCACTGTAGTGAGCTCGACATCGTTGCAGCCGATCGTGGCCGATGCAGGAGTTTCAGAATTTGAGGTATTCCCAAAGCAGAGCAAATCGAAAAGGAACCCCTGAGCCCAAGAAATCACATCAACCCTACAAAGCAACCTGTTTAAAACATTTTAAAACCCATCAAAGAAGACCCAATGTTCCAGAAACTCCCCCCCCTCCAAATGCGGGTGCGCTGCGTCCACCTTCAACAGGCCATCGGAGGCATCGCCCATGAGAATGCCCACCAGGCAGAGCAGGAAGGCTCCGGCGAAGCCGGCGTAGATTCCGCCCAAGGCCACCTTGCTGAAAGGGGTTTAGGTTTTAGGGTTTAGGGTTTAGGGGCCAGAAGTCGCGGAATGGGAATTGGAGTGTGAGTTCACTTTGGGGTGAAGGGTAATTACCAGAGGAGGGCGCTTTTAAAATCAAGCTCCTAAACACCCGCATGAAGCCTCGCAAAACCCTTAATTGGAAAAAGACTTAAAACCTTGTCCGCAATCAAACCCCTATACCACCCGAAAGTTCGATAGCCAGCGCCCAGACGTTGCCCCTGCCTGGATTTGGACCTTACGCGAAGGCGCCAACCTCGGCCAGCCGGCTCTGTCACTGGAGGCTATGTGCCCAGGATATTCGAAAACCCTTTAAAATCATAAAGTAATAAAAGAACATCTTCTGGGGTTTTGGAGAGCCGGGTTTGAAGTGCTGGGGGTTTGCCGCGCCGGATCTGTGGACGGGCAAGAATTTAAGAAGGGCTGGGTTTAGGGTTTGGATTTGTTTTTCTTTAGGGTTTGGGCGAGGCTTTAGCTAGGGTTTGGGGTGTCGGGTTTAGGGCCTCTTAGGGTCTACAAAGCTTTAGGGCAGGCCCTGTAAACCTTTCCGAAAACCGACAGAAGCAAACGCCACCCCAGCTCTCGGACGCGGGGCCCCTTGATCGTCCAGGTGCGCCCGACAGTGCCAAGGGCCGAGGATGGGATGAAGTAGCCACCCTGGACCTCCCAGGGCTGACCCTAGGGACGGAGATGTTGATGATCAGACTCAAACCTACCTATAGTCTCCATTGTAGTTCCTTTTTGGGGATACCTTATAAAATCCTTAGTATATAATTGGTTAAACCAAAAAAGGAACTACAATGGAGGCTATAGGTAGGCCCAGTTCCTTGGCCGAGTAGATGCTTGGCTGCCCCCCTGGTGGAAGCCTCTAGGCCAAGCCTATAAAGCATCATGTCTCTACATATACAGACTGGTGGGTGGCCTCGACGCCAAATTGATCCGCCACCAGGCCGCGCCCTAACCCTTGGGCGAAGAGCATCAGAACGAGGCCCAAGCCCACGGGCCCAACACCATCCGGATCGAGGCCTGGGGATCTATAGAACCTCTAGTAAACACTACCGGGGTCCTCCTTATTGTCGTATCTCGGAACTTCTATCTCCTTAACAAGAAGGATACAGATCTCTATTATGGTAACGTCCATATTATCGTATCTCGGACTTTCTATCTCCTTAATAAGAAGGTTACGGATCTCTATTATGGCAACCAAAAAATCACGTCCTTAAACGAAAAGCCCAGGTTCGGGTGACCGCCACCCCGAGGAGGGGACTGTAGGTCACCTCTTCTACGGAGCGGCCCACAAGGATGTCGCTACCTTCACTCTCAGAACGGCCAGCTGCAGACAGTTCAGTACTACAGACTATAGGTATATCGATAGGTACATCTATGAATTTACGGTTATACAAGCATCTGCGCACCGATACGTATATACCTTGATGATGCTGGCTTTTCTCTGGTTACCATAAGCCAAGAATAAAACGTGCCAGGAAACGACCCTCACAGCAGCGGCAGGAAGCTGAAACTAAAAAACAAGAAAAGGATCTCAACCGAGTGGCCTTGGCCCTCTAAGAAGCCTACGGCAGCTGAGATGATGTTGCAGAAGACCAAGGTGGCCACGAAAGAGGCGCCGACTGCAAATCGCCTTCTCGCGTGAGCTCTGCTTTACCAGTAAAGCACTCGGTATGATGACGTATAGGGATTGTAGTAAGGATCTGGTCATTGCGTATACTGTAGGGCTCTTTGGGGATATTGGTGAGTGCGAACACACTTATCTACACCATATGTGCTGGTAAAGCTGCTTCACGCAGGAACAAGCCGGTAAGAGTTCTTGGGACTCTGTCGCAATCCGAGCTATCACTGTCAAGTTCAACAGGAGAACGAGCATCGTTAGAGATCGCCATCATTGAGATGAATTCATGCGCAACTCAACTTCCAGCCGGCAGGCTTGCATATGTAGCCGGTGACCACTTTGAAAGTGCCTGGTACCGCAAGCCTTAAGCCCGTACACCCCGAACCCCAAACCCACACGGAGCCCTCGAGCCGGAATGTGCCTGAAGCTGTCCTTGCCGGATGGTATGGGCAAGTCCGATGTGCGAAACACGAGCAGCGCCGCCGGCAGTTCCTGCAAATCAGCAGCAGTTGGCCCTTGAAAGAAGGGCTCTTCGGCTGTGAGCTTTGCAGGACAGCCGCTACAGTCGCTAGCACCGAACTTCCAGGTAAACTCCCTCATCTCCCTCACAAGGCCTTGTCAGAAGGGCTCCAGACCTTCACAGGATCGAACTGACCTCTCAGTAGGCAAGAGCTGGAGCTTTCGGGATGTCCGTGCTGCGTCGATGGAGGTACTTGAAGGCGTCAGGGCTTTCCACGTTTTGGCTTGGGGGCTTTCTAGCCTTTGGGGTGCCTTCAAGGTTGCGACTGCCCCACCTTGGAGCAACTCAAAAGAGCCATCCAAAAGTCCTAACAGCTGATAACTCGAAGGCCTTATGAAGAAATCTGACGCATCGGGAACCACCCGAACTCGCCACAGACTGTGCCATGAGCCAAGAGCAAAAACATTCAGAAGCCGTAGTCGCCGTCGTCCCAGCTTGACACAACCAGCCCGAGAAACTAGCAACTCCAACAGCCCTGTCGTCGCAAACAAGTGTAAGTAATTCAATTTAAAAGGGCCCTACAATCCATCAACAGAGTCTTCACGCCCCAAACCCTAAACTCCAAATACCCCCAAATCACAGACCAGCAAGCACCCGTGTAAAACCCCGAGCAAACCTATAATTAACCAGCTGTCAAGCCCCTATAAAGACTCTTAGACACCCGTATAGAAACCTCTAGAAAACCCCAAGCCCTAAGCCTTTTATAGAAATCGATATAGAAACCCCGACGAAGCCTTATAGAAACCAAATAGAAGGTTTAGGGTTTAGAGTTAAACCTTAAACCCTCAACCCCCCACAGGACCTTTGGGCCACAGGCTCAGGCCCGGCGCAGGTGGAGGGCGCTCTCTCTGCAGGAAGACCTCAAGGAAGCAATGTAAGCGCCTTAATAATCAGAATAGAAATCCTTCAAAGGGATCCTTAAAGGGGTCTATGATAGGGTTCTATAATCGGGGCCTGAATACTTAGAATAGGGTTTTGGGGTCCTTTATAATATACTTATAATAAGGAACCCCCAGAATAATGTAGGT